AGAAAAGTTGAACAGATGGACTCATGGTTCCCACAGTGAAGCATGGAGGGGGAGGTGTGATGGTGTGGGGATGCTTTGCTGGTGACACTTTTGGGGATTTATTCAAAATTGAAGGCATCCTGACCCAGCATGGATTCCACAGCCTCTTCCATCCGGGTTGCGTTTAGTTGGACCATCATTTACTTTTCAGCAGGACAATGAGCCCAAACACGCCTCCAGTGTGATAGGATGCTGCACCAGATGACCTGGCCTCCACCATCACCGGTCCTGAAACCAGTCCAGATGGTCTGGGATGAGCTGGACCACAGGGTGAAGGCAAAGGGCCAACAGGTGCTCAGCATCTCTGGGAACTCCTTCATGACTGTTGGAAGATCATTTCAGGCGACGGCCTCTGGAAGCTCATCAAGAGAACGCCAGGAGTGAGCGAAGCAGTGATCAAAGCTAAAGGAGGCTGCTTTGAAGAACCTGGAACATCAGACAGATTTTCAGATGTTTCACATTTTCGTATTAAGTATATAATTCCACGTTAATATTTTTGATGCCTTCAGTGTGAATTTACAATGTTCATAGTGATGAAAATAAAGGAAACTCTTTGAATGAGAAGGCGTGTCCAAACTTTTGGTCTGTACTGTATATTCCATTCAGCAGTAACCGAGTAATTAAACGTGTTCCAAACTACATTTTGGTCATATTGTTACAGCTACTAAGGTGAGTAAGATGGTACAATCTGAGCTGAATAACCCAAGGCCAACAGCCTAAATGAAGAGCAGAAGCCCAGCCTGAAGGAGCCACATGAGGCCATCCCACAGTGGGCCCAGGGGGCGGAGCTGTCCACCACTGAAAGAGAAGGATAGAACCAGAGGTTCGGCTGGGAACGTCTGGAGCCCTCGGTCCGCTATATGTTGAACTCCCTCCTCTGGGAGCCTGTGGCTGTTCCCATAAGATCTGCTGTGCCTGTCATGGCAGCAGTTCTTAACCCAGTGGTGAACATCAGCAGTAAGGGATTCTGTAAAGCTGAAGGTGGAGTCCAGCCTGACTGACTCCTGAGTCAGCAAGCAGGTATCACGAGGCCAAGTACACGGCTGTCTGGGCAGTTGTTGAGGCTGGGAGGAGTTTGAAGGAGCCATGGAGAGAGTCCATTGCTAGGCCCTAAAGTGATTCTGGAAAACCCTACCTTTCCTCCAGGGGAATGCAGTGCTTTGCTAACATGGTTTTCAGAGGGAGTGGGGAGCAGCTGACCCTGGGAGGCAACATTGTTAGACGTTGGAAGGAATACTTTGAGGTTCTCATCAATCCAGCTGACACGCCTTCCATGGTGGGAGAACAGAAGGCGTTCTTGGGTTTGCTAGTCCAGATAAGCCCAGCACGAAGATGCTTTTTGATTATCAAAACAGATGCTGAAATCAGCTAAAGTCCTGAGTCACTACTCAGCAGACACAGTTGGTACTGGCATGCAACGCCTCACCATACGGAGTAGGTGCCGTCTTGTCCCATATCATGGAAGATGGCAGTGAGAAACCCTTAGGTTTTATATCATGCACGCTGACACCAGCCGAGAAGAGATACTTCCCACTGGATAAAGAGGGCATAGCCATAATGTTTGTAATAAAGAACTTCCATAAGTACATCTTAGAGCTTACAGCTTTAAAAATAGAAAGCTTGCTTCTTTGGTTTAATGCAGAGCTGCACACTTTAAAGCTAAATGCTAGGAAACTGGAGAGAAAATATCGCTCCACAGACCTGCGGGAGTCCTTCTTAGTCTGGAAAAATGGTTTACTGCTGTATAAGAGGACTCTTTGTAAAGCAAGAGCAGCATACTTCTCCTCATTAATAGAGGAGAATAAGAATAATCCTAGATTTCTTTTTAATCCAGTTGCCAAACTCACCCAGAGCCATAGCTCTGTTGAACCGTCCATTCCACCTGCTCTTAGCAGCAATGATTTTATGGGATTCTTTATAAATAAGATTGATCTTGTTAAAAATAAGATCATAAGCACTCCTCTATCCGCTATTGGTTTGTCTCTGAAGGGGGGGGGGGGGGGGGGGGGGGCAGCATCTGAGGTAGTCATGGAATCTGAACCGTGTTTAGACTGCTTTGATCCAGTTGAACTTTCAGAGTTAGCAAAACTATTGTCTTCATCTAAGCCTTCAACTTGGATGTTAGATCCAGTTCCAACCAGGTTATTTAAGGAGGTATTCCCTTTGATCTCCTCCTCCATTTTAGATGTGATTAATCTATCTCTGTTACAGGGATATGTACCTAAAGCTTTTTAGATTGCTGTAATTAAACCTCTGCTTAAGAAACCGTCTCTTGACCCAGATGACTTGGTCAATTATAGACCTATATCCAATCTTCCTTTCTTATCCAAAATTCTTGAGAAAGTAGTTGCCAAACAAGTTTGCGATCACTTCCACCATAATGAACTTTTTGAAGAGTTTCAGTCTGGCTTTAGAGCTCATCATAGCACTGAAACAGCTCTGGTGAAAGTCACTAATGATATTCTCATGGCCTCAGATAATGGACTTGTATCTGTGCTCGTCCTGTTGGATCTCAGTGCTGCATTTGATACAGTTGACCATAATATTCTTTTAGAAAGACTTGAATATTTTGTTGGAATTAAAGGAACAGCTCTAGACTGGTTTAAATCTGATCTATCTGATCGATTTCAGTTTGTTCATGTTAATGATAGATCTTCCTCATGCTCAAAGGTTACCTTTGGAGTACCACAGGGATCAGTGCTAGGACCAATTCTCTTTACTTTATACATGCTCCCAATTGGTAGAATTATTAGACAGCATGGGATTAATTTCCACTGTTATGCTGATGATACCCAGCTATATCTGTCTATAATCCAGATGAAGCTAACCCATTACATATCTTTATTACATATCCATTACAGATCTTTTAGTTCTCAGGCTCCTCTCCTGTGGAACCAACTATCAGTTTTAGTCCGTGAGGCAGACACCCTGTCTACTTTTAAGGCTAGGCTTACAACTTTCCTTTTTCATAAAGCTTCTAGTTAGAGTGGCTCAGGTTATCCTGAGCTATCTCTATAGTTCTGCTGCTATAGGCTTAGACTGCTGGAGGACATAGGGACCCCTTTTTCATCATTCTGCTTCATTCTATCTCTATTCTCCCACTCTGCAGAATCTGTTAGTTCAATCTCTAACGTTCTGCTCTCTCTGCTTTTTCTCATAGTAGCTTCATCTGGTCTGTTCCTGTTTGGCTGTGACTCCATCCTGGAGAGAAATATCAGCTGTGCTGCTGCCATCAACACCTTTGTTTCTAGATGCTGGAGCTTGGCCTGTTTTCCAGTGTAGTCCTGTTTCTCTGACTGTGACTAACTGGATGTGCTCTCTTCATCCTCTGTCATGGGAGCTGGCTCGGAGCTCGTCTGCCTGGCTGTGTGTTTCCTGGACGGGGCCGCCTGTGGAGCTGGTTGACAGTTGCCTTTTGTATCTATGCTTCTTTTTCTATGTCTGCTTCTGTCTCCTTGAACCCCAGTGGGCCTCAGCAGATGGCCGCTCACACTGAGCCTGGTTCTGCTGGAGGTTTCTTCCTGTTCAAAGGGAGTTTTTCCTCTCCACTGTCGCTACAAGCATGCTTAGTGTGAGGGATTGCTGAAGAGTCAATGAGTCGATGCAATCAGCTGGTTTTCCTTAGATAGAAAACTTTGAATCAATCTGACTGGATGATCTGGTGAACTGGAAAGTGACCTGAGATGACATGATGTGAATTGGAGCTATAGAAATAAACTGAATAGAATTGAATAACCAAAGCTGGTAAAACTGCATGGTTGTTGTGTTATGCTTGAAGATAGATCGGTTAATCCACAATGTGTATTCATATTGTGTTTCACATTTGAGACTCATTGTTTTGTTTTTCTGGGCCTGGATCTAAGTTTGACCTTTCTGAGGTTAGAAATGGTTACCTTAGTATTTGGTCTCACTGGGTGGGCCTGGGTTCCCTTCAACAGCTTGCTGGAATTTTGGCCCATTCCTCCTGACAGAAAATGTGTGGCCGGTCAGCTGCTGTCTCACATGCTTTCATCTCATCTTTACCTTCATGGCCAGTCTGTCCACACGTTCTTCTCATGAAGTCATCTGTTTGAAGTACCAGCCTCTTCTGAAGCAAAGCCACTCCCATTAATTTATGACTGTGATGAACGTATTTGATGATCATTATCAAAGCTCAAAATGTTCAGTTTCATCAGACATGTCTGAAAACACAACATTTACAATCTCTGCTCTCTGAAGGTCTTTCTTCTCACCCAGAAGCCTTTGAAGCTTCAGAACGAGTTTTATTAAAGTTTACCTTCCACATCCACAGATGGATTCAAAGGGAGAATATATCCTGCAGACGGTTTAAAAGCAAAGCATTATTTTCTTGGCTGTATTTTTTATCTCTGATTATCATCTCGCAATAATCTGGAAATTAATTTGATATGAATTAGTCTGAATGAGGGTCAGACGGTAAGGAAAAATACGTAGATTTAATCTGAACTTCAGCTCCTCCTCCTCAGGAGATAAAAGATGGCAGTTCATTATGCAGCATCAGAAAGGGAAAAACGATCCTCAATGCTGAAAATGTAGATTAAACAAGGTCCAGTTTGAGGTCTAGAGGAAATGTTGGTTAAAATAATGAAAGCATTTAATAATCTGTTGCTGCTGAGGTTTAGAGGAGCAAAGAATGCTCTTCAACATCTTAAGGATAAAATCATTTTAAAGACGTCTTTAAGCTGCATCACCAAACAAATGCAGATCTTTGGAGGAAAATCTGATTTCCTGCGACGCCTCCCAGTCATTTATTAGACTCTATGAAGATTCATCAAACTCACAGTCTGATCCCTCCAGTGATAAAGACGTTACCTTTAAATCAGACGTCATTCATTGGCCAACAAAGAAAACCGTCTTGCTGCTAATCTCCCAGTTTTTCTCTCAAAGAGCTGGATTAATAATCCAGACTGCCAGGCTTGAACAAACGTCCCTTTGAGAAAATAGAGAAGGCAGTTCCTGTTCCGTTTATTGGACATGGTTTATAAACTGACACACACACATGTTGAAAGTATAAAAAATACAAGATTACAGGATCTTCTAGTGAGGTCTCTTATTGTTTGTGTTTAACATGGTAGATAATAAAAACAGATCTTTCACAGCATTGTATTCATTTTCACAAGCCCATTCATCAAGCTTTTTTTTGCGGTTAGGGAAGAGGAATTAGATCACATGCAGTCAGACTTTTCAGGAACTTTCTACAGAACATTTTCTAGAAAAGGTTTCCAGGTTTTCACCGTACTTTGTGTTGCAGATTGTGAGGGACGGTGAGAAGGAATGAGGATAACAAATGGACATATCTGCTAAGGCCGGTCTGTATCAGACGCTGACAGCCCGACCGCCTTTAGACCTTTAGGAATATTAGCATTCAGTCACAATAAATTCAAGCATTTTTCAAATATTCAAGGTGGGACATTCGGAGAATGCTACAAACACACGGGTAACAGATGAATGGCCGAGTGCTTTCATCAAACATCCATCATGTTTGCCTCTAATGAACCAAAAAGGACATTATACTTACAATAAACCTAATTCAGCACGAATACACAGCTAACTTATTCTGTTCCTACCGTAGAAGCCTAGCATACAGCTACCGAGCCAACGTCTGGCTTACTTGGTTTAAAGGACAAAAACCTCCTATAGTTTATGAAAATATCGATAAAGACGACTGATAAAACTGTCTAAGAACTTGCATCATATGTTGGCGTTTGACCAGGTTGCGTTTTCCGTTACTTTCACTATTCACAGTGTTTGAAGTGAAGCGTTCAGGCCCACGCCTGTAACTGGCACCATGACGACCGCTCTCAAGGGTTCCAAGTACCGCATTGCTCTGCTAATTCTGCAGAGCAAAATAAACTTAAAGAAAAAACTGATATGAGCTTCTGTTAGTCTGCCTTTGGACAGAAGAGTCCATTGATCTTTCATATATACATATATTACTTTCCTCTGATTATTATAGTCTGTGCAACAAGCAGCACAACTAATATCCTTTTTCTAGTCATCATTTAAGCGTTATAAGACTTTATAGTGCCATCAAAAATCTAACTTCTTCACAGATGTATTAGATAATTATCTTTCTATGTATAGATAAATAGATATATGTCATAGATGATATAGCAGATGCTCCACCTGCAGGAATGTGGTTCTTGATTGATGAAATAACTTTGCATAGAAAGTATTTGTGTTGCTAAGAAAATAATGTTTCATTTTTCCAGCATGTCACACCTATAAAGTTAGATATGAAAATATCCATGTTGTACTCACAGATGTAAAAAGGCTCAGAATAAAACAATAATCCTTAGCTTTGGAGATAATAACAAACTACATGTCAGATAAAATAATCCCTACTGAAAGTAACAGTACAGAACCAGGAAAATGACTGAGTGGGCTTAAAGCATTTTCTTTAGGATTAACATAAATACCTAATATACTGGACTTCTGCACCTGATAATTAATATTCTGATAAATAATACTGACCTAGCAGCCATGGACGTATTCAATTCTGATTTTAAAAAATCTGCTGTTGCATCATACATCACTGTTTACAGGCGGACCAATAGAACTATGTGCAACATTTTCTTTTCTGTATTTCTGTACACATATATCTGTCATTAAATGATGTCATCCAGGAGATGCGGTGTGCCCACCCAGTCCAAGGTTCTGGGCTCAGAGGCAGCCATGATCATGCACATGAACTGTTTACCAGTCCGCTTATCAATTGGGTAAATGGTGGTGGGTGTGAACCTTCTGTTGCTCTCCACAAACTCACAGAGGTGCTGATACACGTTTGGGTACTCATGGCGTAGGAAAACCCCTCGCATTCTCAGCTCTCGCTGTATGTTGATAAAACAAATTTCTCGTGCCTTCCGACCTTCTTCTCCTTCCATGTCGATATCTGCGGTTCCCGGGGGGGGAGTAAGGATCAGTGTTTCCATGTCACTCTCTTTCTTGTGAACCTTCCTCTCTGGACTAAAGGAAGCCAATGCAATTTTTGCATATTTTCGAACTGTCGGGGCTTGATTCCTTGGCGACGGTCCATCGGGCAGCTGCTCACCCACGGCGATGGATACATTCAAGATGAAACATTCGTTGGGGTCATACTCGTTGCCAGCCTCCTGCAGCTCATTGCAGTACTCACCCAGGTTGTCCTTAAAGCTTTCAAGCTCACGAAGAGACAGGTATGTAGGAGACATTGGTAAACTGTTCAGGCCATACTGCAGGAAGCTACTGGATGAAGAAGGGTTTGGAAAACCAAGGAAGAGAACCCCTCTTCCTCGAGAAAGGTAGCCAACCTTCGCAATACGGGAGAAAGCTTTGTGGACTTCAACAGTCTCCCGGCAGTGTTTTATAATATGGCGGCACGTGCTTCCAATCCTCCCATACAAGCAGCTTTCTTTATGTATGTCCCAATCCTCTCTACGACAGTTCCTGGAGCAGTAGTAGGTGTAACAGCTGTGGCATGACTTAAAGTAAAGACAAGCATTGAATAAGGTCTCTGTTCTACGGCACTTGTTGTTGGAGCACATCATTGTATCATCCTCATCTGGGCTCTGATCTGGAGAGCACTCCTCTGCGCTTTTCATTGCATCAGCTGCCCCATCCATCTCACGAAAAACATCAGGATTCATTTTGATTGAAGTCGGCTGCTTGTCCAGAGGTGGTGGTTCGTCCGGATCGGCCTTCGAGAATTTTCTGGACAAAGATACCGCTTCTTCTTCATCAATTAACTTCTTTAACTGATCCAAAATCTCCTCACTTGTTCGTCTGCTGGGAGGCTTGTAGTCAGTCACAAGATCTGCTAGGAGTTCGTCGAGCTGCTCAAGGCTTTGCTGAAGCGAGGCATTGTCATGTGTCTTTTCTTTGGTTGAACTTTTGAAATCATGCAGCTCTAAACCGTCAGCGTTTCTGGAGTCAAGAATATCCCAACTGGCGGACCGTCCTTCAGCCTTGTTAAGATTACCTGGCCTCATGTCATTATCAGTGATCGTTATCTCAGGAGTAACAAACCGGAGCTTACTTGAGGGGCTTTTTGAAATCTCTGTTGGGCTTTTGTCAATGAGTGAGCTATCAGACACAGATAAGGCTGCATAGCGTCTTGGTGAACTAGAAAGATTGACTACCACTGGTTGAGGTTTGTCACCTGTGACTGTGGAAGGTTTCCTGGAGTCCAGAAGATCGTCATAGCTCTGACCTCTCTGTACAGGAAGAGGTTGTTCTCTTTCTACACGTGAGTTGAGGATATTGTCCCAAGACCTTGAATAAGATTTGGAATCAGTGCCTATTTTTTGAGGTTCTACACATGGGTTGGTGTACCATGGATTTGGCACGGGCTCTTGTTGGACTCTAGTTGGAGTCATCTGAGATACGTATGACGCTGGATTGGTGGAATAACCAGATGCATCAGAGCCGTACCAGTCATCGGTTTGTGGTGGAATGACTCTAGCATGTCTCCGACCTTCCGTATAGTATGCCCTTGCTGGGACATGGTGCTCTGGAGGCACTGCATACATGTCACTAGAATAAAAAAACCTTGGCTGTACTGTCTGAATTTGATAAGTTCTTGGATCATCACGATACAATATACTTGTGGGGGGTGTACTTATGATGTATGGTCCTGGTTCACTTGCAGCATATGGTTTGGGATACCCTGTCTGCACCGAATATGGGTAGGGCTCCATTTCAGAATAATATGGTCTAGTCGCTACAGCATGTACTATTCGTGTCCTTGGATCTTGCACATATTGTACTTTTGTGGGATTTGCTTTGCCTGGTACATAACGCTGATCGTGATAAAAAGGACCTGGTTTTGGACCAGGAGCAGCGACGTATCTGGCTGCATCATCTGCATAAAAGAATTTGGTTGGCACGTTAGGGCTGGAGTGAGCTCTATGCTCTCTACCATAATAATCACCAGAAGAAGGCATTCTTTGCAAAGGAAGCTCCATGTGTTGCAGGTAATTGTTTGGCATGCTGCGGGAATATTGATACGCTTGCCTACTTTCTGCTCCCATTGAGTCGGTGGGGGTTGGTGTTCTGGAGTAGGAGAAATGACGTGGCACAGTCAGACTCCTCCCAGCACTGTGGTGTCTCTGCCAGGGTATGTCCATTGCAGCTGTTGACTGTTTCCGAGCCGATTGATGGAATGCTGCATCGTCAGGCTTGATGTCCACCCGACACCTGACATGTGGGCTAGTTGCTGGTTTATCCAGACTTCCATCCTCACATTTATCAGAGGTGTAGTGAGGTGAATATCTACTGGTGTCACCAATTTGGGGCTGCAGTTTAATAGGATGTACATCACGCATGTGAGTCCTTGTTGCTGCATAAGATGAATCCCTGTGTGGCGATGCTTCTGCTCTCCAGCGAGAGTCTCTCTGAGCTCTTTGGGACTCTCTTCCTTTCCTTCCTGATGATGAGGATCCTTCAAAAGCCACAGGAGTGAGGCCTGTTTGAGCCCGAGAGGCACTTTTTGACCTGGTCCTTCTTCTGTTTTCAGGAACAACGACTTCGCTCACCCTTTCTGCAGCCACTGATTGAGGAGGAAATTTATCACTGAAAATGTCCGGAGCAGAAAAACGATATCTCTGCTGGCGGCCCAGGGCGTTCCAGGCCACATCTGGGTTGGCTGCATGCCTGTCAGCTTTTCTGTATGGAGACTCCATGGAGGACTTGTGTGATCTGGGAAACTCCAATGACTTATAGTCAAAGGTCCGACAGTGCCTCTTACTACTTTTGCTTTTACTTTCCTCCAGTGTGGTAGAGTGTGTGAAATCACATTGTGCAGAGGGCTGCAATGACTTATAGTGGGAAGATATAGGAATAACTTTTATGTCTCGATGCACAGTTGATCCCAGTATATCAGGAGGGTCTGTACGTGTCATCTTAAAGGGATTCCTTTATTTTTCTCCATGAATTTGCCTCAGTATTGTGGTTGCCTGTGGAAGAAGCAAAAACAGAAATCAAACATTTCTCTCTGCTTATTTAACATGGAGACATATTACAATAAATTTCAATGTCATTATCTATGAGACTATTTTAGGGGATACCAGAAAAAATAATTATACACTATAACACAGAGAGTATTGAATCACCCACCAAATAAATGAATCTAGATGTTAAGTCAGCTTTATACAGCTGGTGACCAGCATTGAAAAACTGGTATTAAGCCAATCACAGGGAAAAAACAGGACAAACAACAGCGCACACACATTGGGTCAAAGTATTATTGGCCCTTTTAACACTCATCAACCAATCATGTCTGGATGTGGGAGGAAGCAGGAGTACCCAGACGGCTACAAAGTGTGCCACAGCACAGCCGCACTGTTGGAGTTCAAAGACAAACAGGCACAAAATGGAGCAGCTCATATTTCAGTGGTGTTAAAATGGATGATGGCTAAACAGCTCTGCAGTCCGCGCTAAACCAAAGATCGGCCAATCGGTGCGACGTAGACATTTGAAAGTTGGTACATTGGTAGAATCCTCCAAACACATGAACAACGTCTCTCTGAGGTCCGCGCCAACAGCCACGAGCAATTCTGCTACTTTAGGTCAGAGGGTCAGTTTTTAAGACCTTTGGCAGTTTACGTTAGTCATCACTTTTAAATGTTTATCTGACATCTCTAAAGCTGAAAAAATACTTTAACTACTTCAAGTACCAACAGAGTTTAAAAAGGAGGTGCCGGGATGCAAGTAGCAAGGAGAAGAGAGAGCAAGAAGAAATTTAAAATATCTCTTCCATCAGTCATCATGGCCAATGTAGATCTTTAGGAAACATCTTAGAAGAACTCCCAGTCCCAGCAAGGACCCATCAGCAATGCAGCATGATGTGTTTGACTGAAACATGGCTGCAGGATCATAGCTCAGACTCCAGCGTCTCTCTGACCGTACCAGCAGGCAGACATTTAAAGAGGACTGGGAAGCTCAGAGGAGGGGGGTTGGCAGAGTTAGAGACCAACAGATGGAGGACATGTTGGCGAGAAGATTCATCACTGCAGCCCAGATGCTGGTTTCCGACTGCTGCTGCCGCCAGCGAGACACCTCTTTACAGCGACCACTAGCTTGCTTGATGTTGCCATGACAACGTAACATCTGTGAACTTGTGTTGATTAGGCCCCAAAATAATTAAATTAAAAGCCAAGTAGTAAAATAAAAAAAGTCAAAATAATTTCCCAAATATTCATAAGAAATTTATAAAATGTGTATTTTTAAAAGATCCCCTCTCGCCACTAGGGGGTGCTGCAGCACCCCCACTTCTGGTGGCTAGTGTGTGGAGCGTCAACAGAGGGTCTTCAGTCAGAAGCTTCTATAGGTCCGCTGCAGACAGACCTCTACAGGAGAGGCTTCCAGCCTACAGTATCAACATCTACATTAAGCTCAGAGTTTCTGCAACATTTAGTTTCCCTTTGGGAATAACAAAGTATTTTTCAACTGAATTGATTTCTAACTATAATCTTATTAGTTTGCTAAATTTTCCCAACTTGTGTCAATCACATACTGTTTGACATAAAAAATACTGTCTGAGAAAAGCTGCTGATATTCATCCAGATTAAAAACAAAACAAAACCAGAACTTTCATTTCTACCAAACGGCACAGCCACAGGCGCCGCTGCCCTGCTTTCTGAGGGAAGAGTGAACGTTTGATCGTTAGCATGAAGGTTAGCATTATCATCAACCGTTGTTACCAGCTGGTAAAGACAGCTCAGCAGAGAGATAATGGATCCCACGTCTTCAACAGAACAATGGTGGCGTTCCGGTCAGCGAGCAATCAGAGCACGTTTTCATGTGGATCCGTCAGGAATGGCGTGGAACACTGGAACCTCCCCCCCCCCGCCCCAAGGCAACCTAATTCTACAGTCTGACTGGATCCTGCCAGCATTTAGCGCCATCTGAAATGTTTCATGTTATTTCCTTTAAATAATAACACCTTGACAGTGTTTGTAAGATATGTTGTTTGAGCAGACTTGGAATGCAACTTCCAGGACTATCCAACATTTTTCTACAATACACTGCACGCTACTTAAATTAGCGAGGAGTATGAGGACTGCATTGTGCTCCGTGCAGAAAGCTGTGCTTTGTTGGTGCTTGATGACCAACAAAGCAGAGAGCTTTTAGCGAAGCGATGGGTTCTACAAAGCCTGGCAAGGAAATAAAATGGTGTGATTGAGGTTCTTTAAATGCTGAGGATGAAACCTTAGAGCTGGCCTTCATTAAAGGACTAAAACTGACTCCCATTCATTTAAAATGTATTTATCATTTTATCTATGCAACTATTATTAATCCTCCTCTGGATCGGTCCTGTAATTCTCACGCTAATGACAGCGTTAATAACATAAAGATGGTTAAAGCTGGGCTGCTAACAGTTAAGCAGTCAGAGATGTTAATTAATGGAAATACTGTTTCTTCTTTCCTGTTTACTGGAATCAGAGAAAAACTTGTTATAGAAACGAACCTGCCATAATTCTGTCAGTGTTTCTGAATGACCTTTTTATTACCAATGATATTCTCATGGCCTCAGATAATGGACTTGTATCTGTGCTCGTCCTGTTGGATCTCAGTGCTGCATTTGATCCAGTTGACCATAATATTCTTTTAGAAAGACTTGAATATTTTGTTGGAATTAAAGGAACAGCACTAGACTGGTTTAAATCTTATCTATCTGATCGAATTCAGTTTTTCATGTTAATGATAGATCTTCAACACGCTCAAAGGTTACCTGTGGAGTACCACAGGGATCAGTGCTAGGACCAATTCTCTTTACTTTATACATGCTCCCAATCGGTAGAGTTATTAGACAGCATGGGATTAATTTCCACTGTTATGCTGATGATACCCAGCTATATCTGTCTATAATCCAGATGAAGCTAACCCATTACATAGATTACAGGCATGTCTGAAGAAATAAAAACCTTTCTGATTCCAACTTCTCACTAAATCACATAAATATCAGACTGATAGAAGATCTGCAACCTCTGAAGGACCTAAGCTTCCTCTAGAAGTCCAGTCTGCTCTGTCAGCGCAACATCTGTACCTTTTTACTTCACATTTATCTCTGCATCAACATCACTCTCATATTAATGTGGAACCTCTTTAGAGTCAGGTAATCTTAAGGAGAATGACCATCAACTCAAATATAAGCCAACCATACGCTACAAACACCAATAACTAATAATCAACTCGGAATTTATCATCTTTTCAATCCTACCTTGTTTTTCTGTTCTGGCAATTCAAAACACAAGCGACTATGGCAGAAAGAGGCTAATTTTATCCGTAAGACTCCACAGAAAAGAAATATCCAGTTTTAATAACCAAGAAATAAACTCCAGTGTCGTGATAATCCCCTAAAGTTTGTTTATTTGTTTGTTTTCTTTTTCCATAAAAAGGAAAAACATAAGGATGAAAACATATAATCCATCTCCATAATGATTCCGCCATTTTAGATAATCTACGTTAATGAACCATGGAAGTCATTTTGGGGGGAATGGAGGGGACACGCCCCCTGCGCTTTTATAAAAGACCGTTTGGTCCCTGACAAGTTTCACTGTCCAAAAACAGTGTAACCCTACGGTACATGGACAATGGTCGAGCACTAGGACCAAGCGGAAAACCGCAGCTCAAGCTGAAGCCCGCCTCCCTGAGTTTAGACCCGCCCACAAGCTCCTGATTGGCCCTCTGTCTTTTCTTGTGTGATTGGCCGTCACTCCTGAGAAGCTCACTTTACCAACATCTGATGCGCCTCTGAATCTGCTCTGTGATTGGTCGGTCAAACACGCTGAAGTTAGTTAGAGTAAAAAGTTCTTTCAACCCTCTCAGAGCACCAGCTGCTCTGACCACTAGGCCAGTGTTTTTCAACCCTGGTCCTCAAGGCACCCTGCCCTGCATGTTCTAGATGTCTCACAGCTTCCACACACCTGTGATCAATTGATAGCAGATTATCAGGCTTTGCTGAACTGCAATCATCTGAATCAGGCTTTGCTGAAGCTCAGAAACATCCAGTCCTTGAGGACCAGGATTGGAAAACACTGCACTAGGCCATGACTCCCCTGATGGGCACCTAAAGGCCTGCTTATCCTCCCCCAGCAGCGTGTTGCAGATATTTTTGATTTCTGCCCAATATTGAAGCGTGGTCTGCGCTATGTTATTACACGCCACGACGCCAGAGGGCCAATCAGGAACTAGCTCTGGGTCTAGATACGGCTAAGGCGGTGAGTAAGTGGGGGAACGGTGGAAGAAGGGTCCCAGCGTTCTCACGCACCTCACTCTGCTAGCTGCTCCATCTTCACCAGTCGTTTTCCACAATGGCGGTCAGACAAACAAAACCAGCCGGTAAGGAACCAAACAGGAAGTACGCATACTGTCTGCGGTCACGTACAGTTTGGCAGAGGTGCAGCAGAGTGTCTGCGGAAGGGGCGGGGCATATCTGCGTTCACTGTGACACATGCAGACCACTTGGTTTCTGAGGATAAACCCGCCTTAAGAAGCAGAAGCTCCTTATTTCAGGACAGCCATCTATAAAGTGATGGATAGTCTGAGGATTGGGTGTCAAAGGTCACCAGGCCGGGACTGAAACCTGCGACGGTGCGTTGAGCAATGAGGCGTCTTCACATGGGCTGCATGCTTCATTCCTGCAGCTGCATCACATGCTTTCTACATCAGTGGTTTCTATGATGCTCTGCTCCTCCTCCTCCTCTGCCTTCGCTGGAATGTTCTTTCATTTTGCGGCTGCAGGCGATGGGATCTTCAGAGAACACTGCTGACCTCATGTTCATGAAGATCAAGCTCATAACGAGCCGCAGTTGTTCCTCAGGAACAAAAAATCTAAGGTTTGAGTCTTTCACAGTTAGGGTTGAACTGCTCCTAGATCTACTTTTCTAGATGCTGATGAAGGTTCTCAGTCATCCAGGTCATAGTCATTCCGTAAAAATTCAAGAAGTATCCA